AGAAAGGCGCCAGTTGCTTGGCGTAAGGCCTCCAGCTGAGCGATTTATTGTCCTCTTCAGCTTGGACTATAGCCTCCAACTCCAAAATCTCATCTGGATGCTTCTCAGCAACGACTGGAGGTTCCTGCATCATGATACGCGAAGAACCACTCGCAGTCTCTTGGCCCACCAATTTTCCACAACCCAGCTCATCTCCCTGATCTATCCAATGTGACCACCTCTCCACTCAGCTCAGTCTGCGTTTCTTGACTGATCATTTATCGACCAGAAGAGGAGGACGAAGTTGACAGAATGCCACGCTTCCGCATCACCTGCATCACAGCAGTTTCCAACTCTATATCCACACTCATCCCCGGGTCTTTTCTCCCCAGCTCGTGGCTTCATTTCCCATGTCCACATTGGGACCCATACCCGCATTGGGGTTCACAGCAGCTGCTTCTCCAATCCTGGTTTGCTCAGCACCACCAGCTGTCCCTTCCTTCTGTCCTTCATATTTCCGGAATTTTCGGTCTTTTACGTTCCCTCATTTCCGGAAATTGCGTTTTGTGTATTCGCCGTCCTTCAGTATCCCATCATTTCCGAAAATGTCCGTCATTCATACTCCATCATTTCCGGATTGTTCCGTCTTCCTCCCGTTTCGGCCGGCTGCAAAGAGTTTGATTCAGGCCTCTTTTCTTTCGAGACATGTGCCGTTGGGAAAAAGACACGGCTTCTCGGAAAAGTACTCAAACAACAGTGCGCTTCACATGTCCATGGAGTCCATGGCTCCGGTCTATACATAAACTGACTATGACAGTCTACGGAGTCTACGGTCGCCGATGCTCAGGACATCAAACAATGCCCAAGTTGCAGAGTTTCGGCCGAGTGGGCTCACGTTCATGTGAACCAAGGCACGTGTCTTTGGTGAACCCTTGGCACGTTCCTCTGCTTAAGTGCTTAAGCTAAAACTAGTCGGAAACTCACGCACGCAGACACACCCACCCACAACAGAAGCGCTCAAAATCTCTTGGTGCCCGGCTTCAGCCTCTTGAGCAAGCCACCCATCTCTAGCTGCTGCTTGTGGAGAAACCTTAAACGCTCACGGCTAACAGGGCTAACCTCTGCCTGTGACTTACGTGTACTTGTATGTATGTGCTTCTCTCGGATTTGCGGCTGCTCCTCCATGACTGCAATCCTTGCTTCGCGCTTCTCCTGCAGTTGTCCGATCACAGAATGTCAAAACAGCGCATTTGAGCCATATGCATCTGGTATCTGCAGCTCCTTCCACTGATTGTGCTCTCTGGCTTCCAGCTTGTCGGCCTGTACCTCTGTTTTCACATGCGCAGGACATGAGACGTGCAAGTGAAAACGTCAGTTTACGTCGCCTTCGTCTTCTCTGCCTCTGCATACTTGCGCATCTTTGCCAAGGTCTCCTCCCCATGGACCATGGATTGACTCGTGGTGACGCCGTAGTGCGAAGAAACATGCCGAAGACAAAGAACAGCAACTACACCTGCCTTACCTGCTATCCTAGCCTAGAAGCCTGTGATTGCAAGTGACTGTCCTGGATCTTGCGCAAATTGAGCAGATCACGGCTCCACCTCGGCGTCCTGTCTACAATCGAACTCTGCGCTCCCTCTCGCTCCTCTCAGCTCTCAAATTGACCCAATGACCTTGTAGTGAAGTTCTGTTTCAAATTCTAATCATGACTCTCACCTCTCCCTGCCCTCCTGGGCTCGACTTCTCGTCGCAGCTTTTCCAGGTGTGCCTGCAAAGCATTGCTCCGGGACTCCGGGGCAAGGGTTGAACCCAATGGCTTTCATGTGGCAAGCATCTGTCCTGGTGCTCTTGCTTGTGACGAGTCGCAAGAACCTTCTGCAATTGGTTTGCCTGAGCGAATTGGAAACCTAGCTCTTCGTGAAGAATTCGTCTCGGCTTCCAAACGAGACAAGCCGACCGGGCATCCCCTCTTCCGAGCCAAAATCCGATGCCACCCCGACTTCCCTGGACCTCCCCCCGCACCCCTGGGACCTTGCTAAAGAACCCCCAGGTTGGAGCCCCTGGAGCTCCTTGAAAATTCCCCTCCCCTTTGAGACCCCTGCCCTGGACCCTCACCGTTGCGCATGCTACACCCGGCCGGCCCGGCTCAAGGCTGCGCGAGCAAGCGTTTGCAGTTACGCTTCGGAGCTCCTCAACGAACCAAGACTCCAGCGCGAGACTCGAAATCCTGCTGCTTTTGGTCCCAGATATTATTGAACTCCTCCAGATGAAGAGCAAAGTAGCACTGCTACGGCTGACGCTGTTCTCGCTTCCGCGCCTGCAAGCCAAGCATGTGGGCTTCTTCCACCCCCATGCGTTCGGCGAGCCTTAAGATTGCGGGGCATTGCGCAGAACCCAAAAAAAACAGAGAAGTAGAGAAGTATTTCACAAACAAAAAAAAGAGCATCCGTGTTTTCGTGAGATCGCTCGGCGCGCGCGCGCAACCCGTGCGCGTCGGTTTTTTGCGTTCTTTCTCTTTGGTGCGTTGATCTCTTTTGCATAGATTAAAAACAACCGCCGCCCAAACGGGGTCTCAAGAGACGTCTCAACTCCACGTCCAAAACAGGGGGGGAAGTCCCTCACAGTGAAATGCTGAAGCTGGACAGGGTTACAAGCTCAGGCTTGCAGCGGGACTTAAACGAAAGCCAACTCCTACTTCTTCAAGGAGAAAAGATTGTTGGTACTAAGAACTTATTAATCCTCTAGTAAACTTTCTCTTTTTCATCTACATGTAATATCTCTTGGTATTCTTCTTACCTTTTCCCCAATGCATTTCTTAGGATTTAATATTACGCCGAGAAAAATCCCATCCTTTTCAGATTCTTTTCATTCCTGGAAATCCCTGTCAACTTCAGCATCTCATACTTCCACAATTTTTAAGTAGTAAGTAAGCTGTAAGCTGTGGCTGCCTTGCTTTTAAGCGCGGAAGCTGGCCGACGCGTCTGGCAACATCTGAGTGGTCGGGGCTTTCGGGTTAGGTGTTGAAAAATGTTCGGGGCGCTGACCGAGCTTGGTCACATTGGATTTCTGCGGAGCAAAACCTAGCGCTTGGCATCTGCCCAACAGATGCTGTTGAAGCAAGATTGTGCCAGATCTGTTGCAGAGCAAAACTGTGCACAGCCGGTGCTGGAACTGTTCGTCTCCATATCGGAGATGCAGGTAGCTGAAGATGCTCAGATGCAAAATGCAGTGGTTCTGGGGATTTTGACCCAGTTTGAGCAGAGCCCCAGGTCCACCAAGTCGTGGGTACTTTTTGAGGCGATGGCGTTGCCGTGATGCTGGTCCAGTGATGGCAAAGATCTTCGCCACACTTCTTCTCGCAACTCCTTTTCTCTGCCACCCGGCCTCAGCTTTAGGCGCTTGTCCTGCGGTTGTCGATTTTGGGGCATTGTTTTCGCATCAACAGCTGAAGCGGATGGCTGATCCTCGCAGTAGGGTCACAGAACGATATGGGTTGTCTTATTGCGTTCCGCAAAGAGCAAGACCGCTTCTCACCCAGACATCCTTTCGGTTTGCGGGGCGCTTTCACCCAGAGCACCAGAGGTTCACACTGTCAAAACACTCCTTCATCCTCCTAAGCTTTGCAGAGAAAGTCAGCCAAATGAGCTTGCCCATGTGGGCTGGAGCAGTGACCCAATCGGAGCATCAAGGCCCCACATTCGTCAAAAGTGGAGATGCGCTTAGCCTGCATTGCACGAGGCAAGCAAATTTCAGCGCAGTGACACTCAGCCATGATGCCCGTGTGCGGTTGAAAGGTTGGAGACGTTTGTGCTGTGTCATAGTCAGCCACAGTCATGCAGGCAAAAGGGCAAGAACACGTTAGAACACAGCCAAAAAGACAACATAGGCCACGCGTGGTGAAAGGCGAAGTGGGCTTTGAGGGTGCATTCCGACGGGGGGGGGCTTTAACAGCCGCGCGCTGGGCGACTTATGCTTCGTTACGGGATAGGTCAAGCGAGAACTGTGAGCTCACACATTCTCGCGAAATTATGTAAACGTATGTAAACGTATGATAACGTATGTAAACGTATGTAAACGTATGTAAACGTATGTAAACATGCAATGTGTCAGAGCTGACTTCGTGCGCGCTCCATTGAGCAGAGTTTGTCAAACCTACACTCGCATCGAGGTTGCGTATGATACCCATAGGTCTTCAAACTACACAGCATCCCTACAAGTTGCAGTCGCAGCCAGGACTGATAGACTGTGCACAAAATCACGCGCAAAAACATCTTCACGGCGCAGAAACAGGAAGAGCTCAGAGAACTGAGCTCAGAAAGCTAAGGATCTCTGAGCCCTTCTGAGCCCTCAAAGAAGGGAGCACAAATGCACAGCCCGTTCTCAGTGCCTAGTATGCCTAGTCTGGTTCAAGCGGCTGCTGCTCCATGAGAGCATCCCGCCGGCTCCGCTCCTCTCCAAGGCACATGCTGAGAATCTGAGAACCCGAAAAGACAAAGACCAAGTAACCACTCTCATCCGTGACCAAGCCTCGTCAAAGAGAACGAATCTCTACTTTAAATAATTTCGACTCATATGAGTTCGTCAAACTCTCTTAGAGAAGAAAGCAAATTTTTACCTGCGAATGCGCGCCTCGTGCTGTCGCAGCTGGTCCAGTCGCAGGCGTGCCAGCTCCGCCTCTTCGTACCTCCAATTCTAGAAGAGAAAAAGCGAGGAAGCGAACGGGAAAGCGAACAACTCTGCAAAAAAAGAGATATAACAAAACACACACACACACACAAACTGCAAAAAAAGCCTCGCAAGAAATATCACAAAGGAGGAATTCCCCGCCGCAGCCTGCCAGCTTGCTCGCATTCGACACCTGGCAAGAGAAAAGAACGCACACGATCCAAACAGGTCTGGGCAACGAGGGGCGGGCGGTGTCTTTCCAAAGCCCGCAGGAGGTCTTCAATGCTGTGGCTTTTCTCCTCCGGCTTGGAAGGGCTTTCAACATAGCTGTCGATGCGCTGCTTGTTGTTGTGACCTCTCCTCACCGTCATCCAGGGATGCGTCATTCATTCTCGAGGCCAAGGCCACTGAAGTCTTTCACTCTAAATGGCTGCAGCTTGACCAAGGCAACATCACATTGAGGGTGACTGTGCCACATCGTCCGGGAGCTTAGTCGCAAGCCTCGAGGTATTTTCAGACTGGCGGCCGCATTGTGTGCGCTGTTTTTGTGAGCTGAGCATGCAGCAGCTTGACACTAGCCGGAGCACTTTGGAACTCTGACAAACGCCGAGGAGACCCGATAAAGGAGCCTCTGCTACTAAGTGTACTGTTGGCCCACGGCAACTTTAAGTGTGCGAGAGATGGTGTCTCTCGTGTCTCTCTTTGCTTAAGGGCGATCTTCGGCGGTCACTCTTGTTAAGAGAGAGCGGGGCATCTCCTCTTTGACTGCGGCCCAAGGCTTTCTGGCAATCTGTTGCCGAGAGCTCACTTAAGGGCAGCTCTAACTAACGAAAACGAAAACACACCACAAGTGCAATCCTCGCAAGAACTCTCTAGTTGCAACTGTCATATAGTAAACTTCGTCATCTTTGCCAGCAAGTCTTGACAATCTTCCTGACCCTACGCCTAAAAAGCCTAAAACAACACATGCCAGCAATATGTCAAACTCGGTGTTGCCTGCTCGCAGCATCTGCTCTCACCCCAGTCACGAGCACGTTGAATTGCACCCTGAGCTCGCAGCCGCAGCCCCCATAGCAGAGAAATTGCCAGGCACAGCTCTCCCGTGATATGGAAAAGAAGAATGATGCCTGTTGTGTTGAGCCTCTCAGCTCCGAACACCGCCGTGTGCTAAACCGGCCATGTACCACTGCTGAAAAAAGGTGAGATGCCTGGCAGAAAGACGACAGACGACAGTGGACAACATGTCCCCCAAAGCTTGAGCGCTGGGAATGCTGGAAGCACATGCCAGTGGTACGAAGCGGAGCTTCACCTGCGCTTCACGGCCTTGTGCTGGCAAATTTGGCTCAGATCAATGGAGACTTTGGGAGCAATAAAGGATTGGGGACAATGATGCACAGGCGCAATGCAGCCATGCAGCTTAGGATTGCAGACCTGGAATTGCTGCGCTTGCTGAGTCACATGCTGCACTGTGGCAAGAAGAAAGTTGGTGCGGGACCCAGTCTGGGAACCAACCCTCGGATACCGCAGTTCCCACTGCATCCACCTGCGCAACATGGAACATCAAGGCCCCCAGAGATGGCTCAGGCTCCGGTCAGCGCCTTGCGGCCGAATGTCCAGCCCGTAGGATGGCGCTCCACGATCTCCACGTAATCCTGCAACGCTGATTGCCGTAGTTCTGCGATTCTGCGCCTATATGGCTCTGGCACTGCACTGCTTCAACTACGGAACTACGTGCTCCAGTCCGAAGTGTTCAGAGTCATCTGAGAATCACTTCCGGAAGTGAAGGGCTGGACGGCGCGAACGAGTCCTCGAGCCTCGCGTCCGCAAGATGCGTTGAGAAAAAACAGTTCGGAACTCGAAATGTCCAGCACCTCGGGTCTGTTCTCCAGCCGAAGCTGAGGGACCTCAAGGGGGAAGCGATTCAGCTTATGAGACCTGTGTGCGCTCCCTAAACGCCAATCGCATGCAAAATTGGCGGAGCCAAAGCAGTCAGAGCCAACAAAACGGGCTGTGCACAAATTCATTTTTTTTCAACGCTGCTTGCCCTGAGCTTGCACATCAATGTTTCTGAGTTGACGGCTGTGTCTCGCTCCCGTGTCTCCCTCCTGGCGCAGGAAGGAGGACAGCCACTCGAGAGATAAGAGACAGACCCAAAGATTGATGCGCCCCTGGGGCGGGGGAGAGAGCTCCAACCTAAAACGCCACCAAAACCCTGCTTAAGTCCATCTTCGACCACCTTCAGCAGCTGTTTCAGTGAAACAGGTGTAAAGAAGGAGTGCTTCTGTTTAACAACAATGTATCTTCGCCCGATGCGGCTTCGCAATGCGCAAGCATCTTCGGCTTCAGCTCGTTTCACAGCCTCCGCCCTGCGGCCGCAATGTATACATATGCATCTATATATTACGCATATATTATAGTCACCCCCCAAAACCAAAACCCGTACAACCGAACCCTAAGGGAGAACCCCAAAAAACTCGTTTGGTGTTTTTTTTTCTGTTGGTGGTGGTTCTTGCCGTCCTCGGTTGTTCCTCGGAAAAGCCCGAAACGGCGGGGCTTGCCAGCAGGCCCAAGCCCAAAAAAGTCGCAGAGATAATCTCGCAGAACTCGTTGTGTCTTCTCGGTTTTATATGTTGCTGCTTCCCCTCGAGCTTTTTGGTATTCGGTTAAAGTTCCCGAGTGGAAACACCCGAAACCAAACACAATACCAAACAACTCGAGGAACAAACAAAACAAAATGAGGTCTCTTTTGGGGGGTTTGTTTTTTGGGGGGCCCCTGCTGAAGCCACGAAAACATCCCGCAACATCCCGCACAACTTCCCCACAAAACCTTTGCCTGGCCTCTTCAGAGTATGACTAAGTGGACTTCCCTGTCAGCTGAAAGTCGGAATGGGTTGTTTACATGACTTGAAAATTATAATCTGCTTCCAATTTTTACTTGGGCGGTGGACTCGTTTGATTTAGCGTCTTGCCCTGTCGCTTTCAATGATATAAAGAATAGAACGCGTAAAGGACAATACGTTTGATCACAAAAGCTCCCAGTTATACCTGGTACAACCCTTGTACTAGTTACTAGTCGCCTTCAACTTAGCCACTTGGCCTTGAGAACGGAAATTGCAAGACTCTCCTTTCTTCTTCCAATTTGAAGAAACTAGTATTCAACATCCAGCTTTGTTAATCAGACCAACTCAGACCAACTCAAACCGTGACATTTTACATTTTGGGCACCTCAGACCTAGCTAGTAAAAAGTAGAACACTGGAAACTCTAGTCATGTAATCCCATGAAGCATTTTCAAACTACAAGCCATGATGAACGCTTCCAATTTGCTTGGGCCTATGCTGGAAGCAGCTGCACCCTTCCCTACGACCGGGTAAAAAACGAACAGGCTTTGACATCCGTCGTAGGCAGGGGGCGGAGCCTGTACATATGTGTATGTATATATGTACATATATATATATATATATATAAATATGGTACCCCCCCCCCAAAGATCTGCCGTTTTGCCACCTTTTCTAATAATGAAACAAGATCCGTCAGCTTCTTTATGAAATTTCACAATAAAATCACATTCGTCTGCCTCCCACTGAAATTGCATCTGCCTCACAATCCAAAGATGTCGCCTCGAAAGCCGGCCGTTTCAATTGAAACGAAAACGTTTCAATTGAAACGGCCGGGATCCAAGATCCAAGATCCAAGATTTCTCAGGACTCTTGCCGAGGCATCTTGGAATCCCATATCTTGGATTCTGCCCGCAATCGAAACGTTTTCGTTTCGGTTGAAACGGCCGGTTTTGGATTTAGGATTCCAAGATGTCCTGGCAAGAGTCCTGGGAAATCTTGGATCTTGGATCTTGGATCCCGGCCGGCAATCAATGAAACCTAAACCCTTAATCTTTAAACCCTACAGGGTTAAGGTTTAAAGATTTAGGGTTTACGACTCGGGCATTCAAACTTAAGCCGGCAATTCAGCCTAAACGCTCAACCTTTAAACCTCACAGGGTTGAGGTTTCAAGGCTTAGGGTTCAAGTCAAGATTTAAGCGCTTAAAGCTAAGCCCATAGAGCTTAAACCTCAAGGGTTTAAGGTTTAGGCATTCTAGGCTGCCCAGTAACCTAGGCTCAAAAAAGGGTGCCCTTTTTTGCTTAAAGGGCTTTATAAGGGAACCTAAACCCCCCAAAAACGGAATAAGGGTACTACTGGGCATCCTAGCATTACAACATGAACCCTAAACGTTTTCGGGGTCTAAAAGGGTTCAAAGGTGTTAACTCCATTGGCGCTGGAGGTCTACACGCCCAGACCCTAGGTACCTGAGGTTTAGGCATTGCAAAGCCCCATAGGCGCTGAAGGTATACGCGCCCAGACCTTAGGTACCTGAGGTTTAGGCATTATAAGACCTTTAAACCCTACAAGGCTTTTAAAGGTTTAAGCTCTGGGGATTTAAACCTAGGTTGGGCAGCAAACCAACTGGTTCAAGCCTATAAACCCTATAGGGCACCTATAAGGTTGGGCATTTAAACCGAAGAGGTTACCTTTAAACGCTATAGGTTTAAAGGTCCAGGTTCAAAACAGTTAGGCCCTATAGGGTTTAAAGGCTCGGGTTTTTTCGGGGATTATCTACCCTATCGGGGTTAGCCCTATAGGATTTTAACCCTACAGGGGTTAAAGGTTCAGGGTTTAAGATTAAGGGCATTGCAAAATTTACTGTTTTCCTTAGACCTCAAAGCATATAGGGTGTAGGGTTATAATGCTGAAGGTATAAATGCCCAGACCTTAGGTACATCAGGTTTAGGCATTAAAGCCTTTAAAGTCTGGGGGTTGAAACGTAGGTTTGGGCATTCAAACTGGTTTAAACCTTACGTAATCCCTATAGGGTCCTTTTGGGGGTTAGGTATTTAAACCGAATAGGTTGCCTTCGAATGCTATAGGTTTAAAGGTCGAGGTTCGAAACTTTTAAGGTTGTAGGGTTTACAGGTTTATGACTTGTTCAGGCTTTGTCTACCCTATTCAGGGTAGCCCTATAGGGTTTTAACCCTACAGGGGTTAAAGGTTCAGGGTTTAGGGTTTAGGGCATTGCAAAAACGTAACCCTAAACCCTCAGAAATTTAACCCCTTTCCCTAAACCTTAAACCCTAAACCCTAAACCCCTAACTGTTTCCTTAAGCCTCAAAGCCCGATAAGGTCTAAGGTTATAACGCTGAAGGTATAGATGCCCAGACCTTAGGTACACCAGGTTTAAGCAATAAAACCTTTAAGCCCTATAAGGCTTTTTTAAAGGTTTAAGGTCTGGGGGTGTAAACGTAGGCTTGGGCATTCAAATTAGTTTAAGCCTTAAACCCTATAGGGTACCTTTAGGGTTCGGGTGTTTTCAGGGTTCATCTACCCTGCCGGGGTTA